CAGAAAGTGAAAAGTTTCAAAGAAGTTAAGCATTTTTTTCCACACTCTCAAGAGCAAGGACACTCTCCTATGTAACCATAAAACCGTTATCATACATAAGAAATTTTACAAAATATTATTTATGTAGAATCCATATTCAAATTTCTCCAATTGTCCTCAAAATCTGACAATCCTAAAATCAATAAATTCTCACATGTTACATTTGGTTGTCGTATCTCTTTAGTGTCGTACTTTGAATTTGTCTGATGGTTTCCTCAACTAGATTCTTTGGGGAAGAATTCTACATAGATAACATTGTGTATTTCTCATTATATCTCATGAAGAGACACATAATATCATTTTGTCTCATTGTTAGTGCTGGTCAATTTGGTCACTTGGTAAAGGTGATGTGTGCCAGATCTCTCTATTTTAATTGTACTGTTTACCCTTTGTGTTAATAAGTAATCTCTGGGTGGCACTGGAGACTGTGCAAATATCCTGTTCCCCCAAAACTTTTTACCTCTCGGTTTTCGCATCCCGTTGGTACACCTTGTCTAAATCAATTATTTACATTGGTGTTGTAAGATGGTGATTTTCTCATTTTACTTTTCCTTCTACATATTAGTATGCATTCTTCCATAAAGAAATTTCCCTTCTTATCCTTGAATTTATGTATTTATTGTTTATTCATCTATTTTTGTTATTCATCTATTTTTTATTTTGTGTGTTATAATGCATTAATATCATAGTTGTTGATGCTAAAATTATCCCAAATTTGACCAGTTTGAGCACCTACAAGATACCTCCTGTGTTAATTTTACATATCCCCATCATTTTCTTTGTATTTCCTCACTTTCTGTCACAGCCTGACATTTCAATGAGATACTACTTTTTTCATCACTATATGTCCATATACATTTTTGTCTATTTGTGAGCTTTTTATTCTCTCCCACTGGTCTCTCTTTCTGTCTATTCATGGATCAATATCACACTGTTTTAATTACAGAAGCTTTATAGTATGTTTTAGTGTAGTCATCACTCATTGTTCTTTTTTTTTTTTTAAGAGTTTTATTTATTTATTTTGTGAGGAAGATCAGCCCTGAGCTAACATCCATGCTAATCCTCCTCTTTTTGCTGAGGAAGACTGGCTCTGAGCTAACATCTATTGCCAATCCTCCTCCTTTTTTTTCTTCCCCCAAAGCCCCAGGAGATAGTTGTATGTCATAGCTGCACACCCTTCTAGTTGCTGTATGTAGGACGCGGCCACAGCATGGCCGGAGAAGCGGTGCATCGGTGCGCGCCCGGCATCCGAACCCCGGCGGCCAGTAGCAGAGCTCACGCACTTAACCGCTAAGCCACGGGGCTGGCCCCCCTCATTGTTCCTTTTTTAGGATTCTCATAGCTATTTTTTGTGTTTATTTTTCCGTATGAACTTCAAAATCTACTTGAATAGTTCCATAAAATAACTTTATGTTATTTTTATTGGGATAATGCTAAATTTATTGTTAAGATGGGAATAATGATAGCTTTATAATGTTTATTCATGCTATCCAAAAACAAGAAAAATCTCCAAACTTATTCAAATTTACTTTCCTATCTTTCAAAAGTATTCTAATTTTTCCTCAGGTAAATATTATACACTTCCTATTAAGTTCATTCTTAAATAAATCCTCTTTTTGCTACTAATATAACTGAACTTTTATCTTCTGTATGTCATCTAATTAGCTATTGTTTGTGCATATAAAGTCTTCTCATTTTTGTTTTCAGTTTAATATTCCATTACTTTATTGAATTTTTTATTATGTTTGTGTCATTGATTCACTTGGGTTTTCCAAATATGCTGTCTTATCATCTATAAATAGACATAGTTTCACTTCTTCTATGCTAATTCTTCCGGATCTGTTGTTTAGTCTAGTCTGATTGCATTGACTGGTGCCTCTAACACATTTATAAGTAGTAGTGAGTATCCTCACCTTATCCTTGGCCTTACTGTGAACCCTTCTAGTATTCTCCACTAAGTTATAGACTCACTGGCTTTTGGACTGCAATGTGTGTGTGTGTGGTGTGTGTGTGTGTGTGTGTGTACTTATAGATATATAGTAACACTAAAGAAAAAATGATCAGTTCCTATTTTATTCAATGTCTTCATCAGGATTGGTTGTCAATTTTTGTCAAAGGCATTTTAGCCTCTATGAAAATGATCATACGATTTTCTAATTAGATTTACAAACATGGTAAATTGTATTAGTAGATTACCTAATATTGAACCATCCTTACATTTTTGGAATAAATATCACTTGATCATGATGTTTTATTTTTATGATGAGCCCTTGGATTCTGTTTACTGATATGTTATTTAGATTTTTACTTCCATATTCATAAGTGAGATTGATCTGTAGTTTATTTTTTGTGCTATCTTTGTAACATTTAGATGACAATGTAATTCTTGTTTCATAAACATATTTTTGGCTTTTCTTCTTTTTCTATACTCATAAATAAGTAGCATTGGGAGTATATGATCTTTGCAGATTTAGGAGAATTCTTCTGTGAAAACTGGGCCTAGTCCTTTTATAATAACCTTCTCCACTTATTCCAAGCAAAGCTCTTATGTGATTTTTGCAAAGCAGAATGCTCCCATTAACTAGAACAGCCTTACTCTTCTCTAAAGAGCAAATATCTGTATATTCTTCAAGGTCTGGCTTAATATCATATTCATACTCCACCCCCAACTCAAGGACAGAATCAATCCCTTCTTGTTTCTTTTATATCCATAGTATTATGCGTATGTCTGACAGATTTGGTCACATGTGTTGTAGCATATTTGTTTATGGGGCTGGCCATTTCCCTAGACTCTCTAAGACAGAGACACTGATTTAATCATGTGTAATTCTTCAGCCGCAAAAATACTGCTTAGCCCTTGGCAAGTGCTCAATAAATATATTTTGAATAATAATGAAGAGAAGAAAAAAATAATGAAAGCCCACTTCAGTGGGAACCACAGTCTATTTATAAAAAATGTAGACTCTAGGATTGGATACACTGGAGTTTCTTTTCCATTTCCTCACTGGCAAGGTGTTACGTTGGCCAGTTATCTCCTGTGTTTTGTTGTACTCATCCATAAAATATAGGTAAAATCTCACAGGGGTTTTATATTCAGAACATGTGTATTAATTCCTAGCATTAGGTACTATATGTGCTCAACAGATAACTTGCCCTTCACTTCTCCCCATGTGAAAGCCTGCTGCTCATTGGAAAGCCTGGGCAGTTCTTTGGACAATTCCTAGAGAAATCATGAGAATTGGCTCTCTCACTTGTAGTACCATAGCACAGGATCCAGCCTACTGATAGTAGTTCCCTCTGAAAGTGTCTGCAGGGATGAAATTCTCCAGTTCAGGTCAACAACCACAAGGAAATGCAGGAATGTGTTGTGCCTCTGAGATTTTTACTTGCAACATTTGTTTTACAATTGTAATTTTACATTAGTTTAGTGTAGTTATGAAATGTGTATTCTGCTGGCATTCTGAACAACAATACATTGTAGTCTGAACAACAACTTAGTCTTCATACCTGGGCTTTCTTCCCAGTTCCTGTGCTATTTCCCCAGACAGCAAATTAATTAAATGGCCTTTGGCCATGACTCTTTCCCTTGAGTCAGCTTTTCTCTCGTTTAAAGCATAGAGATGGGGGAATTTAATTAGCCCATTGCCTGGCACATTGCATGCACTCAATAAATGTTTGTTGAGTCTTGGAATTCTCTTTAGACGAAGGTCACTTTTGTTATTGCTATTAATTTACGAGCATATCAGTAATTCCTGTGCTGATAATGTTGACCAAAAGGACTCAAGAAAAGTTAACTCATAACTTACAGGGATCTATCACGAGAATTCAGATTTTCAGCTCACCTATTTTGAACATTGCACCATTGGTCTATTGTTCTAAGGTTTGATTCTACACGTGAAGCTCTGGGATTCTGAGAAAGTGAAGAACTGCAGCAATTCCCTGGATATTTCCACCAGAAAGAGCATGTGTGTGTGTATTTGTAAGCCCAGACTAAATATAGAGTCCCCATTATTTATGTAAGCTACTTAAGGGAAAGGATATTATCTTTCAATTTTTATCTCTCCAGCAAAGTTATTACTGCTAGTTCAATCCCAAAACTATACATAAATTATGAACAGTGTAAAATCCCCTTAAAAATAGGTTTTTAAAAAATATGTTCCCTGAAATAATGTTTTTACTGACCTAGAAAATTTTTCTTAGCTGTTGCCATACTTAACATTTCGTACTGATGATGTTATGTTGTGATGATGGCAGTGACCAGAAAACATTGAGGAAATACACACAGCGCTGAAATTTTACTGAAATGAATGTAGCTCTAATTCATAATCATAATTTAATTTTTAAGTAAAAATCTGACTTCCCAGGGTGTCATTTCCTTCAGGCTGGGTGTTTATAGGCCCAAAGCCAGTGTAAATTCACACAGCTGCTTTGGAACTTTGCATATTTCCTTGTTTTAGGTGCTCTGATTTTTTTTAAAAGAGGTATTTTTATACTGAAATAAAACACAACTATTAACACCAGCCTCAAGAGAAAAAGAAACTAACAAACCGACAGCTTAAAGTGTTTCAATACTTTGCCTTTAAAATCTGGTACGTCCTTTAGAAGCTGGGAAAATAAAAGCCGTCCCTGCCAAAAAAAGATTGAGGACAAACTGTCATGATTTCAGAAAACGATAGCAGAAGTGCAGGTGTTAATACTAGAAAGTTTGCCTGTGAGTAACATGGGACCTCCGAAAGAGCCGCTATTCAAGTATTTTAGAATCCTTTCTTGGGCACGGGTGCCTCTATATTGCCACCATGACCACACCATTCAAGCAGTGCTGCAGAATGTTTTCTGCATGGTACCCAGCCAAAACTGAAACAAGTTGCCCACTGACAGAGAGGCCATTTATAGAACATATTTGCTTATACCAGTGCTAGGCAGTAACTGAAAGGCGATGCAAAGAAGTCATTTCTCTTTACCTTGCTTGGAGCAACTCTGACCCGGAGAGCCATGTACACATCCCTCGTCAAGGGGAAGTTGAAAGCCACACTCCTTATATCGACAACATCTGGAAGAAGACACAATTGTCACCGTGAGCTTTTCAATTACTCCTGAAGACTGAGTGTGAGATGCAGGAGTGCGAGATGATTGGATTACGTAAAATGAGACAGAAGCCATCTGTGAGCCACGCGTAAGCCGCTGAGTGCCAACATGAAGATCCTTATTAGGCGACTGGGTTCTCATACCGCTTGTAGTTTGCTCAAGTTTGAAAGATGAGTTGATTGTTTTTAGACAGTGCTGCAAATAGGCAGGGACTTGAAATCCTCCCCTGCTGGATGAGTAATTGCTGTCTCATGCTTAAATTAGAAACACGGGTTTTCAGTTGGGAGGTTGTGAGATTGTCTCCAAAGGATGCTGCTGCCATTAATGTTGAAACATGGCCTGTCCTCTCTGTTTCATTCACAAGGACCACAGACTGCTGGAGAAAGAATCCATTTTCACATCATGGCAAAGCAATATAAAAATTCTGACTCCCTGTTGGGAAACAGAAGGATTCCGATGCCCTAAAATGATGGCCTGTATACAGCCAGTGAAATGTTCTCAAGAATGCCAGGATGCAGTCATGGAGCTCTATGACTCTCTGTGCCCCAAGGCTCCAGAACCAACCCTTTGTTTACCATGTGTCATCCCCTCAGCTTTGATTGGCACCCACTTGTAGACGGGAATTGACCTGCGTTCTACAGTCCTTTTCTCATTCTGCCACCTTCTTAACTCCTACATAGAGCACGTTCTGCAATACACACCCCTGTACATAAAAGCATGGCTCTGTGAAAGTGAAAAGAATGTCTTCAGCAAGCCCAGGCTTCATATTTTTCTTCTGGAAATGTTTTAAAATTTGACTTTCATAATGCATATTAATAACACTATCAAGGCTCTTTCATTAATATGCCTTAGACAATTCCTTTAATGTGTGATTGCCCTGCGTCTCTGCTTACATTGTGAGTTCTTGCAGGGAAAGTCTCTTCTGCCTGCTAACAACTTTGTAACAGCCCCCAGTGTCTGCTTCAGATTTTGGCATATGGTGGACCCTCAGTAAATGTTGATGGATTATTTGAATCCTGTGCCTTGCCCTGTTTGTTACAGCAATGGGGCAGCTTTTCTCCCTAAAGAGGGAAAGGAGAGCCCCCTGGGAGTGAGCTACAGCCCAGTGCAGAGCAAAGGACCTGTGAGTCACTTGCTCCACTCCAACACATTCAGAGTGTTTTCTCTACAACTCAGATTCCGTTGGAATTATTCAGTTCAACAGTAACCACCCAAACCCTGTCCTCTTTGGAAGTTGGTACCACACGTTGGGAGCCAATACCAATTTCATTACAACCACTCCACTGGATATAATATGGAAAGGACTACTTTTCTATAACTACACTAGAAAAATCAGGTGGTCAATAGAGTATTTTGGGTGGAGACTCTGTGTATGTGGTTACATCTACGACAATAAATATCTTTTATTTGAACTACTACTATGATCTATCATGAGAGTAGGCCATGATATAGAGACACACACATACACACTCAATAGCTCTAATTCTGTTTTCCAAGTTTGCCATTAGATTGATAAAATATTTACTTGTGTACATATGTATATATGTGTGTGTATATATGTCTATGTGTGTATGTATTTACATACATATTATATGTATATACGTGTGTATATATGTATATATATTCCTTTTCATTCAGCACACCCATTTGGAAGTTAAGGACTAAAATACGGAAAACTCTACAAATTCTTGGGTTCTGAATTGTGCCCCTCGACATTTTGTCATGTTTTAAAGTATTTTCAGTCCCTTTGTATAACTTGCATCCAAAGTTCTTCTTTGTTAAACCTGACTTATCTGCTTCTCTTGTGATAGAGATATTCAGAAACTTCAAGTTATTAAAGAGATATTTTGGGGCCGGCACTGTGGCTTAGTGGTTAAGTGTGCGCACTCTGTTACTGGTGGCCCGGGTTCAGATCCCGGGCGCGCACCAACGCACCGATTCTCCGGCCACGTTGGGGTGGCATCCCACATACAGCAACTAGAAGGATGTGCAACTATGACATACAACTATCTACTGGGGCTTTGGGGAGAAAAAGGAAAAAAAGGAGGAGGATTGGCAACGGATGTTAGCTTAAGGCCAGTCTTCCTCAGCAAAAAGAGGACGATTGGCATGGATGTTAGCTCAGGGCTGATCGTCGTCACTAAAAAAATAAAGAGATATTTTCAAGACACTAGTACACAATTTAGAACTTATTCCTGATAAAATCAGAGGAGAAAATGAGTTCATGTCCACAAACACTAACCCTAAATCTTCGGGGTCAGATATGTTTCCAAATTCAAAAAATTTTGAATTTTAGACAGATAATAGGCTCCATATAATATATCATATCACACATTCAAGGGGTCTGGGACTTTACTCTGTATGCAAATGCATTGTGTGAGCAGCAAAATGTATGAATCTTCACTCCAAGTGGAATAAATAAAAACTGTAAATAATATTATGTCAGTTCAGGTAAGGTTTCGCCACCAAAGTAGTTCAGGTCAGGTAATATTCTACCGCCATAAGAGTGATAACAATAGTTAGTTTTCAGAGTTTTTTAGATTTTAGATTCATATGTAACAAATTATGGACCTGTACAAGTTTAATCATAAGAATCTGAAAATTGGTGTTGATGACAGAACTCCAGGTACAGGTTTAAATGATATGGTCAAGATAGAGATGCTGCTTTTGACACAATCAAATTATCCCTAAGAAGTAAAAAGTAAAATTCCTTTGCCCCAGTGCCAGGAGTAAATGAAACCGGTTCCCACTGATGCTCTCTGCTCCTCTATTATTGCTGGCTTTGCCCTGGAAGCCAGGCACCATATATTTTTAGTTTTACTGATTCTCTCTAACCCATTTCTCCCTTTCAGGGCCTTCTACGACATCTGTTGTTCACTGCCTTTTTGAAATTAAAATATAGTACTCTACAGGATATCGCTAAATCATAAAAAAAAAAAAAATTAAGAACCAAACAGGCTCTATTTTATTTCAGGGAGCTGTGGAAATACCGATCAAAGTTAGGGTAATTTTTTTTTTCTGTTTATAGCCTTAACGGAGTTTCCTTTAGGTTTGGGCCCATGTTAAAGAGAAGATATATGTCTACACATACAAGTGCACACTGATTTCATTGTTTCAGATATATTGAGTAATAAATTGTGTCTTGAAAGATCAAGTCACAAGAAGGGACAGTACCTCTAAACAGTAATGGCCCAGAATCAAAAAATAGTTGGCATGGGTGAGTTGGTATGAGTATCCAAACATTTATTAGATGGTAATTTTCATACTCCCTCCCTAAACATAAACCAAGGCTACTAATCAACCTACCTACGACCGGGGCCGCAAATGTGGACACTTGAGTTTCAATATCTCACTTTACCTCCTTTCGAGTCAGTTGACCACAGTTTTGGGGGCTGAAATGGGCGCCATGGAGTGGAAGAACATTAAGAGGATATAGAAAAGAGCTGGAGAATATATACTTTGTATCAACTTGAAATAATGCCTGGGAAAGAAACATACAAGGTAGAGCAAACTCAGTACAGTGATCTCAGCATAAAATAAATATTAAATGATAAATTAGAGGACTGGTTCAAAGAATGTGAACTGGATTTTCAATAGGAAGAGAAAATAAAGTGATGGGAAGGAGAAGGAGGGCATTCTAGATAAGAGAAACATCAAGTACAGAGGAAGTGAGAACAAGCCAATGAGATCCGCTTTGCTAGAAAATGACCAAGGCGAGAAAGCAGCTGAGGACTGCTGTTCAGTGGAGGCCTCAAAGGGCAAACCAGAGATTTGTATTTTGGTTAAAAATAAAATAGGGCTATGCGTGAACAGGGGCATGACGGATAAAATCAGCTTATAAGAAAAATTATTTTAATGGCAGTATAGAATAAAAGACTATACAAAGAATCTTGGTTGGTTTATTGGAAAAGGCTTGGGATTTGATTTTTGTGGGCCTAGAATAAGTGAGAAGGAATAGATTTTTAGAAACATCTTGGTTACAAAATAGGCAGCCTTCATGATGAAGGGCTGAAAAAGAAGAAAAATGAAGAAGAGTAGAAATGACTTCAAGATTTTGATGACGACAAATTAAGGTGATCATGATGCTATTGATAAGAATGGTGAGGTTAAGAAAATAGAAAATGAGAAGCAAACTGTTGGATTCAAAAACATTACGTTTCAGGGCCAGTTCAAACTTCAGCGAGTATCAGAATCACCTGGATTGCAGGGACCCACTCCCAGACCTTCTGATTCAATAGGTCTGGGATGGACCCAGTGTTTGCATTTCTGGTACCACGTTTTCAGAACCACTGATTTAAATCAAGTCCTCAAAGACAATTAATGCATAGTTGAGGTGAGGATGGACATCTGGGGCCAAAGTCGTTAAGTATGGGAATTATCCATACCCAGGTCATTGTTGAAACTATGTTGTGGAAATTTCTATTTACAGCACTTTCCAACATTTTTATACCCTCTATCATCTGTTTCCTTAATTATATTGCTGGCATTAAAGTGAAATAAATGTTCAGTCTCTGGCAGTTGGAATAAAAGGGACTGAAAGTTTAAGAAACAAAAACACTCATTCTGAAAATAGACAATGAGTGTATAAGGCAATATCAGAGTATAGCTTCTGAAGGACGCAACAGAGAAAGATTCAGGAGGAAATTGCAATCAGGCATCACCGTGGAGTAGGAAAAAGGACCTCTAGGGACTTGACAATCTACTGCAGAAATTTCCTCTCATTCTCTGTGAAGAAAAAAAGGTAGAAAGTTAAAAGGAAAAGTTAATAAGTCTACTTTGTATTTTAATTATTGTCAAGTACCCAGGTGCTTCAGTGAAGAGTTTCATGTACATTTAGATTACTTCTGTGCCCTAGCATATTTGCAGAAATCTAAATGAGACGTTGTTCCATTTAAAATTTAAATAACTCCCTTGAGAAAATGCCAACCAGATTGCTTCAGCTAGAGGCCAATGCATAAACATGTATTTGTTATTTACTTGTTAATGTGTTCCGCATCTTGATGTATTTTGCAGAAAACTCAAGTCCTCTGTAATGTGATCTGATGACCCTAAAATGACGTGTAAAAAGGTA